GAAACTGGAAGTTTCCGTGGGAAGTTTTTAAATTACAAATTCAATCTGTTTACTTGTTATAGGGATTACAGGGCTATTCAGATTTTCTCTTTCTTCTTGAGTCTGTTTTGGCAGTTTTTGTATTTCTAGGAATAGGTCCATTTTACTAAAGCTGTCTAATTTGTTGACATACAGTTGTTCATAGTATTTCTTTAGAATTCTTTTGATTTTCTGCAAGATTGATAGCAATGTTCCCTCTTTCCTGATTTTAGTAATTTGATCTTTCATTTTCTCTTGGTCAGTCCTGTTAAAGTTTTGTCAATTTTGTTGCTCTTTTAAAATAATCAGCTTTTGATTTTGTTGATCCTATTATATTATCTCTGCTCATATACTTACTGTATCCTTATTTCTGCTTGTTCTGAGTTTCATTTTCTCTTCCTCTCCTAGTGCCTTAACATGGAAGGTTAGGTTATTGATTTGAGACTTTTTTTTATTGTAGATATTTATAGCTAAAAATTTCCCTCTAAGTACTACTTTATCTACATGCCTCCAACAAATTTTGGCATATTGTATTTTTATTTCCATTTATCTTAAAGTCTTTTCTAATTTCTTTTGTGATTTATTCTTTGACTTGTTGGTCATTTAAGAATGTTTTGTTTAATTTCCACCTATTTGTGAGTTCTTCAAATATCTTTTTGTACTTCTAATTTTATTTCATTATGATCAGACAACACACTTTGTACAGTTTCAATCCATGTATGTGTATTCTGCTGTTTGGAGTTGAGGGTTCTGTAGGTGTTTTTTAGTTTAATTGATAGATAATGTTCAAGCCTTCTATTTGTATCTTCTACTTAGTTGTTACATTCATTTTTGAAAATGCATTATTGAAGCCTCCAACTATTATTGTTGAATTGTCTATTTCTCCTTTCAATTCTGTCAGTTTTTGCTTCATATATTTTGTGGCTCTTATGTTAGGTGCATATATGTTTATAAATGTTATCTTTGTGATATGTGATGTTTTTGTCATTGTGAAATGTTCCTCTTTATTTCTAGGAAATTTTTTTGTTTCAAAGTCTATTTTGTCTGGGACACCTGGGTGGCTCAGTTGGTTAAGCATCCAACTCTTGATTTCGGCTCAGGTCATGACCTCTGGGTCATGAGATTGAGCCCCGTCTCAGGATCTGCCCTGGGCATGGAGCCTCCTTAATATTCCTGCACTCGTGTGCTCTCTCTCTCTCTAAAAAACAAAAAAACAAACAAGAAAACACAAAGTCCATTTTTTCTGACATTAATATAGTCACTCCAGCTTTCTTATGGTTTCTGCTTGTATGATAGCTTCTTCCATTCTTTTACTTTCAAACTGTTTGTATCTTTGAATCTAAAATGTGTTTCCTATAGACAGTACATAATTGGATCTTGTTTTCTTATCCAGCCTGACAGTTTCTGCCTTTTTGTTAGATTGTTTAACCCATTCACTTTTAATATTATTATTGATCTAGTTTATCTATTTCTAGTATTTTACTTTTTGTTTTTATTCCTCTTTTCTTCTTTTATTGCCTTACTTTGCATTATTTGAATATTTTCTAATGTAACATCTTAATTCCTTTAATGATTTTTCACAATATTTTTTAGTTATTTTCTTATTAATTGCTCTAGGGGCTGCCACGTACATCTAACTTATCAGAATTGATGTCTGGTAAGTTAACTTAATTCTAGTGAGATATAGAAACATTACTCATGTATAGCTCTATTCCCTCTACCACATTTTTGTACTATTATTTATTATACGTATTATATCCATATATGTTAAGAAGCCAACAATACATTTTTGTCATTGCTTCATATAATTATATGTTTACTAATGAAGATTAGAAAAGAAAGAAAGTATATATTTATAGAGTTTATTTTATTAATCTTCTTATTTACCATTTCCAGCTTTCTTCATTTGTTTCTGTGAATTTGAGGTATCTTCAGGTGTCATTTCCTTACTACAACTTTGCTCCCATTCACCTCTTTGGTGCTGTTATTACCACATATATTTTATTTTTATATGTCACATGTCCAGTAATACATTAATTTTAAACTGTTTTAGACAACTTCTTTTGAAGTCAGCTTTAGAGAAGAAAGGAAAATAAATATGAATTTTTCCCATCTTTTATAATTACAGACTTACCTTTACCTGTGCTCTTTGCTCTTTTGTGTGGACTTTTATTACCATTTAGGATCACTTACTTTCAGCCTGAAGGATCTTCTTCAGTATTTTTTGTAAGGTGGGTCAGCTAGCAAAGGATTTTCCGTTTTTGTTTATGTGCTATTTTATTTCACCTTCATTTTTGAAAAATAGTTTTGCTGGATAATAAAATCTTGGTTCACATTTGTTTTTTAATTTCAGCACTCATGGTATCTCATTCCACTGCTTTCTAGTTCTGCTGTTGGGGTACCTGACTGGCTCAGTTGGTAGAATACATGGCTTGTAATCTCAGGGTCATGAGTTCAAGTCCCACATTGGCACAGAGCCTACAAAAAAAAAAAAGAAGAAGAAGTCAGCTATTAATTTTCTTGGGATCCCCTTGTATGCAATGAGCAACTTTGTTCTTGTTACTTTCAATATTTCCTCTGTCTTTGGCTTTCAGCATTTTTACTATGATATATCTAGGTTTGGATCCCTTTGTGTTTATCCTACTTTGAGTTTTATGAGCTTCTTAGAGGTGTGGATTAATACTTTCAGTCAAAATTGGGAAGTTTTCAGCCATTATTCTGCTCTCCTTTCTCTTTTCTTTCTGGTTGATATGCTTCATGGTGTTCTACATTCCTTTGAGCTTCCTTTAAGTTTTCATTCTTCCTTCTTCCCTGTGCTCTTTGGATTGCATGATCTTTCCTGATCCCTCTTCAAGTTCACTGATTATTTCTTCTGCCAGTTCAGATATATTGTTGCTCCACCTAGTGAATTTTTCATTTCAATTATCACACATTTCAACTCTAGAATTTTTATTTGTTTTTTAAATAACTTCTATCTCTACACTGATACTCTGTATTTGATTATGCATTGTTATCATAGCATCCGTTATTTATTAAATATATTTTTTAATTCTTTGAACATATTTATAATGACTGCTTTGCATTCTTTGTTTATTAACTCTGGCATCCAGGCCTCTCACAGGCAGTTTATGTTGCCTGCTTTCTTCCTATGTGTGGGTCATACTT